GGTTCTAGCTACGGACAAATATTAACCCCTAAACTAGGATAAAAACACTATAAATGTGTAAAAATAGGTTTTAATACAAGAATATATTTTTGGAAAAAAAAATGTTACCAGCAATACATTTAAAAAAAAAAAAAAAAAACAATATTACCAGCAATACATTTTCGAAAAAAATATTACCAGCAATACATTTTTGAAAAACAAAATATTACCAGCAATACATTTTTGAAAAAAAATATTACCAGCAATACATTTTTTTTTTTTTTTAAATTACCAGCAATAAAAATTGTCGGCATTAAATAACCTATTGATGTTGATATGCCGTAAAACAAAACAAACCAAACCATCCAAATTTCGGCTTTGAAAACACCAAACCCAAAACACATTTGGGAAATTCGCAACTATTTCAGCATAATCAGCTTATAACCACACAAGATGAAGAGAAAGAATAAGTCTAGAATGACGCTTCAATCTACCATGTGAGGAGGTTTTACTTAAAAATCAACGTTCATATTCTATATAAATTATCTGACCGGAAACACTTACTAAACATTACTATTCATTACTATAATTCTTCTTATATTCAAATTTAAGTCACCACTTTGGATCAAGTGGCAATCAGTCGCCTCAGTATTATATTTAAAGTTAATACTGTTGCCATTACTACTGGTTATCTGTCGAGTTCGACATTTATATATACGTGTAAGGGTGAACTCGAAGGTGACTGTAGAGTCCAGTGAGATAACTGCAAAGACTCCCGCAACGGGCACATGGAAACGTAGGGCCTGGAGGTTCGGGTATTTCTACTACTACCTTGCTTTTTGCATGGGGATCATTGTTGATCTCACGTTGGCTTGCGTCAAATATTGTTGTTTCGCATGTCACGGCACTATATCCAATTCGATCCTGTGTGTGATCTTCGAGCTGCTTGGAAACTATTCGAGCGTTGCCGATATTGGCCTTAAAGCAGTCTTTAAAACGTTGGCCTAACATGATTTCACTTTTCTTCAGAGAGTTCGCCATTATTTTCCATTACTACAAGTAATAATAATTTAAAAACCAAAATATAGATGGCGCTGTTGCCTAATTATCGGTCAAAGCGGCTGGTGCACTTAGACCGCAAAGGTTTATCTTATATTTCCTATCCTGTCTATTCGTTGCAGTAGATCGACAGCCTGGGTAGAGCAACTAAAATTGTACTTATTTTCGTCTGGATAATCAAAAATTAATAAGGGTCTTAAAGATTGTTCCCAATGCATTAGCTATTTCATTCATATTCATAGGTTTTAACAGCTGTTGACCAAGATTCTATAGATATCTATTTTGGGAGTAACTTTTCATTTCCCTGTGTAATTTGTTATAACGTCTATAGACACTGCATCATGTAGTCTTTATTTATTTATTTATTATAAGACATTCTCACTTGCAGAGAAAAATAAAATACCGTACCTTTATGTGGAGAAAGTAGGACACCTTTTTAAATCTACAGTGATGGAGTTCTCAGCACCTACGAGCGAAGATACTTTTTTTTATTTTGTCACCACCCTTAAATTCCTTGATTGTGTGTATGTGTGGGAGAGAGGGGGGGTCATTTCTTGTTTAAAGACAATATCATTTCGTTAGAAACAAAGAGAAAATTACAGAAACCTTACGTAATAACAACCCTCCTATATGACAGTGAATGCTGGACAGTCTCCTCACAGATAAAGAAAAGACAAGGCGGTTTTACAGAAGGATGCTGAGAATACCATGGACCGAACATTTGAGCAACGACGAAGTTCTCGACACAATGGAAACAAAAGCGTACATTTATACTGAACACCAGGAAGATACAGTTGAAATTTTTAGTTTACACAATAAGAAAAAGGGCTGGGATACTCAAAGAACAAATTGAAAACAAGAGGTTAAGAGGAATACAAACGCGTAATCTACCTGGCGAGATTGATTTGAATGGGATGGCTAAACAGGGTTGGTGAGAGCAAAAAGATAAAATTTCATTAAGAGCTACAAGGAGGCAGCCATAGTCAAAATCGTCGAGTCAATCCAAACGATCCTTTCCCTAGCTGCATAGTATGCCTTTCACCAGAGTTACATACAGTTTTGAATTAAGAGTTTTCCTTCTCCTAGACCGGTTGCTAACCAAGGCTGTAAAATGCAGTTTGCCCTCTACTTAATCATAACAGGGGGAAGAGTAGGATTCATACCTTTCCCAGGCGTACTAGCACGTAAATTAATGTAATGAACTTACAAAGACAGGAAACTGTGGAGAGCCATAATCGCCATTGTCCTGAATGGACACTTCATATAGAATATTGTGAAATTTTAATTACTGCCTTAAACAGAGTAAAAATAGCATCTAACAAATGAAGGTTTATAACTACATTGTTCCGATTATTGTCCTCATCTTTATTGCCATATTAACGACGTTTCGGCCGTTGTACCCCCAGGCTTCTTCAGGTGATAATATGTTGAAATTTCTAACCGAACCCTTTTACTCCACGGGGTAGATTTTTCTAGTTCCACGTGCCATGCCTTTTCTGGATATCTCAGGTTCAGTTATTTCTCTTTAGTAACTCAACATTTTTTGCTTCATCTGCTGTGGCCAGATATTGAACGCACGACTCTTTGGGGCAAGTGTAAATAATGTAAAGTTACAATACCTCATCTCAGAAATATACACAGATGTAAGACTATACATAATTATAGCCTACTAGATGTACTTATAATGTAATGTCTATAATCTGCAAACCATTTTGATGTAATCGAAAATTTTTCAGAAACACGCCAATGAAGTAATATTGCCAGCACACTGAATAAATTTCTCTAATATTCGTAATTCGATAAATCATGTTTTAGATGAAAGTTCCCTCAAGTGGTGTTCATGAATTATGAAGCAGATTGATAAATGACTGCGGATGACAAATTTTATTTTAACATGATAAATACTGATACCTTCTTTGACTACTACAAGTAAAAGGTTAATAAGGAAACTCCCATCAATACGGAAAAGAGCGATAGCAGCTACTGGACTTGAGAAATCTATTTTCTTGAAAGATAGATTTCAGAGAAAGATTTTATAAATTTCAACTGAAAGTAGTACTGGCTGTTCTGTCAATTTCGTTTCAAATTTAACTCGTTCTGATAAACTTGTATCGATCCACAAACTTGTATCATTTTCAACCGACAGTAATACCAGCTTCTCGGTCAATAAATGCCAAATATTTCCTTATAATTAAACTGTTAATATTGCGATTACGTCCAATTCCTTTTGGGGGGTCAACAAAATTCTGGATAATCGTTCCCCGGTAGGATTATCCATAGTTGTTGAAATATATCGGGGTTTTGTTTCACAGACATAGTGTTAAATAATAGTTTCGCAGACTATTATTTTTCAGACGAATTGTATCTCTGCTCCGATTTCCTGAAGTTGACCATGGGGTCAGACGCAAGCCATTATATGGAAAGTCGATTTTGATTGGCTGAGTTAGCGTGGGAAAGGAGATAGGATAAATGTTTCAGGGAGTCGAGTCTTTACCGTCAAGCAATGTAGACGTGTTCCCTTTCGTGTCTGAAACGGCTTAACAGTGAGGGGAAACGACCCCCCCCACACACACACTGGATAGTTAGTACATGTCAACATTAATAAAATAGTTTACTTAAAATTCTCGGTGTTTGACGTCCTTTCATCTCTTAACCAAAACATCTAACGAACACCGGCCAAAGAGAAGACATGCAACATTATAATTTAATTGACGCTGTTGACCTCCCAGCATAAGGGGGCTTAAGGGAAACATTAGTATTTGCAACCCATGTTTCTAGGAATCTTTGTACAGCTTCAGGTGACTGAGTATTGAATTCGGAGTTTTTTTCCTCGAATGGTCGCCAACCACGACTCGTCTGTTCTGCTATTTAATCCCTAGCTGGGGGGGGAGAAGAAATAGTTTTTACCTTTCTCAAGGGCATTTGTGCGAAAGTGAATGCAACAAACTCGTGTTTAGCAGAAAAAAATGTCGTTCCGAGCTGCTATTACACTCTGTTATTTTTTTTTCGTTATTCAATCTTCATATTTAACAAAAAAAAAAGTTGTAAATTAAAAACGAGAAACGCATAACCCTACGCCATATTTACTTTACGTGTGGCCTTCGGGGAGGGTATGATTATTAATTAAGAGACATTATGAAGCAGATTAAATTTTGCACACCTTCACTCCTGTGTCCGAGGATAGCTACCACTATCGCATTCTTTGTTATATCTGTTCTAACATCTCCGTCCGAACTCTGAAATTTTATCTGCTAATTATTCTTACTTTTCTCATCGATAGGAGTATATGTTCGCCTATTGCCCGGTTCACCCTCCCACCCCGTCCTTTTGAACAGGAGTAGAGGTTTATCTCTTCTTTCCTGTTTAGGATCGGGTTTCCGGTTCTTTCTAAATTCTTTTCCTTGTTTCTCACTCTCAGTAACCCCTCGCGTTTTAGTGATATTATTGCCTTTCTTGAGGCGAATTGATTTAAATTTAAAAAAAAAAAAAAAAGAAATCTCTGATTCTAAAATAATGGAATGGCTAAATCTTAGTTGCATTAACATATCCTTACGAGAAAGTAGGGTCGTAGACTGAGAGTTTTTTTTCTAGTTTACCAGACTAAAATTCTCGCACATGAAAGACTGTAGCATCATCGACCAATCTACTTCTGTCTGACGTACTGATTCCCACTCTCTCTCTCTCTCTGACACGCGCACACAATAATCCTGCTTAATCTATATTTACCTACAATAGAATCTTGAATGTCCCCTGCCAACAGAAGACCGCCTTCTAATGATAAAATGTCCCCGCACTTAACGCTGTTACAGTTTTTCGATTATTGTCTTCTCTTCCATTTCCATCTCTTTTTTTTTTTCATCTGATTACCATTATTATTTTTATCCCGCAAAACGATTTCTTAAATTCGCCATTACTAACATTGTTCTTTTTTGTTTTTCTTTTCCATTTTCTGTGTCTATCAGCTCCAGCAGATGGTGGTGAGCGGAGAGCTTCCCTGTACAAAGGATGAGTCGGCCATATTGGCCGGCATTCAACTCCATATTGAGGAAGCATGGCCTGAGGATAACCCGGACGCCGATGCCTGCGACCTCTTCAACCATGTTACGCCCAGAGTGCCTTCGACACCACCAACAACGTCCAGGTCAGCCGGCACGTCTGATGACAACGTGCATCACGCGGGCAGTACGTCATCATCAGACAAAGAACGGCAGGACAATCTACGTAAAAAGAAGGAGCTGATCCGGGCGAACAAAGCAAAAAAGCTGGCCAGCAATCGGCGACGTGGCCGACTAGTTAAGCACCTTATGTGCTTCAGTGATTATGAATACAATTCGGTGAGCGCTGTTTGTTTGGAGGATTACCTTCCACCGGAGTACACGACATCAAGGAAGATTCGGGAGCTAATTCAGGTAAGTTAGCGTTTTTTCTGTAGCTTAAAACAAAATTAGTGAAGCCTCAGGACAGAAAATCAACGGTCTGTAACATCTCTTTACCTTTCACTTCCGTGATAACAACTGTAAGTCAGCAAAGAGAAAAGACGAGGCACATCAATGTCCTGATGTTCAATGTTACAGGGCATCAGTTGTATAACGTTCCCCTTTTGGAAATTCGCACCTTGTTTTCATTTTGTCCTCACACACTCTAATACTATTCTATATCAGGAATATTCACAGATCCTATTTTGGCCCAGTTAATGACTATTTCACATTGAAATACCGGTTCTAGTCTGATCACCGAAGTTAAGCAACGTTAAGTTTAGTAAGTATCTAAATAGGTGACCGCTTGGGAATACCGGGTTTTGTAAGCTTGGATGTGCAATAACGGCTCGGAATTGGAAATCGGAGAGCAGAGTTCTAATTTCAACATGTGTTCGCTATGTTCACTTACACGTAAATACCCTTGAGAATGGTATAAATCCAATACTTTTCTCATCCCAGCTATGGGTTAAATAGTAGGACATGTATTAGAAAATCCTTATTGTCTCCAAAACATTCTTGCAATCCAAAATATGTTCTGGCTTTAAATAACCTGAAAAGGGCTTATAAGCCTTAAAAAAGAAATAAAAACTCACAGAACCTATTTTGGCCAGCACGCATCAGCGAGAAAGTCATGGCGTTGAAGGTTTCAAAGTCACAAACATTACCAAAATTGTACAAAAGTTATTGAAATCATTGTCTTCCGTCAGTCTTATACTCAGGGAATGGAGTGAAGCTATGGAATTTATCACTATTCCGTGTATTTGTATCATCAGGTCAGTGGTCATCACTAGAAATCAATTGCCAGAACACTTCAAATCTTCACCCTTTCACAGACTACAGAGCTGACATAATCTTTCAGTTCTTCTCTAAACCTTCAACTCCTTATTGGTGTTGTTCGTACTGGAATTCGAGTGCCAGGAAATTTTCATGACATATATTACTCTTCCAACGGCATGATCATCTGAATCATTTTTATTCTTCTTCTAACAACAGTTTCTTCTAATCTTTACAGTATTGATGAGATTGGCCGTTTTCATACAGAAAATTGTCACCATGTCCTTGTAAAGTCGAATATTTCAATTCGTTTCATTTATATAGCTGCATTGATTATTGAATAAGTTATCTTCATTTCATTTTTTGCTTTTTTTTATTTTTGGGTTAAACATTTTTAGATGCTGCATTGAAACAATTTCGCCATGATCAATATTTTGCTTAATTTTTTAGCTGTTATCGTTTGTTTTTTTTTTGTTTTTTACTATGTTTTTTTGTCCAATCTTTTCTTCGGCCGTTAAACTAAGCTGCAAGAATTTAAGATAGCGGAGTATTTATTTATTAAGCTCTTCTTAATCTATCAAGCAGTTTATCGATTGCTTTTAACACTTACTATTCCTCAAAGATCAATTGCCTGTGTAGTCAGAAGTCTTATCTTCCACTTTTATCAGGCACCAATGCTTCCCTTGTAGATACTGTAAGAACGTTTGAAATATACAAGTCAATTTCTAAAATTCGCTATCATGGTTGATACTTTAGCAATTGCTTTTTTTGCAACTTTATTCCAGTTCTAATAGTAATGCTCATACCTTCTTCGAGAATAAGGCTTTATCTGACCATCTTTTTAGAATATGATAATTGTGTTTTAAAAATTCTAATTCAACATGAATTTTCCTTCTCTTCAGTAGATACTGGTTTGTAACCCTTTCTGAATGATTATATTGGAATACTTTGTACTGTTCTGGGTGTGTTCTTTGATAGGGCAGACATTGTAACGGTTAGCGGCTTAGAATGAAAAATCGACTTGCTGAGTTTGAAATCCTGTCGAAATTGTTAATCATTTTCGTACAAATAACTTTGGAAAAGTTATACATCTGTATCTGCTTTTCCCAATTATGGGTTAAATAGCAGCGCAGACTGTGGTTTCTAGCAGTGTTTGGCAACCAGTATAGAAGGAGAATTTTGTTGACATCAACAGTCATGGAACTCAAAGAAGGTGGCTAGATGTTGGGAAGATAATATTATTTCAACCATGTAATCCCCCACCACAAGGTATCCATTTTGAAACTGGGATAGGAGGTGATGAATGTAACGAAGCCGTGGCACCTAAGCCAGACTGGATTATCTCTCACAAATCCTCATCCAGGAAGGCAAACCATATATGTGTGTGTGTGAGATTGTCATGACTTCTTCCTCCCCCAGCTTTTCGAAAGAAACAAGTGTGCTCACATCAGCTACAATAGAGGACTTGACCCCTGGTGAAAACACCTGTCTTGCAAACATGCTGACTCTTTATATATATATATATATATATATATATATATATATATATATATATATATATATAAAGTGAACATTGAAGTCAACACTAGACGCAATCGTCAGGCCGATTGTGTCAAGCATGAAAAACAACCTGTTGACTTCAGTGTTCACTTTTATATTTATATTTACATACGCTCTATCTCTGATATTGAGCACTTTATCCCATAAGTATAGCACATCTTAAAACTATATATATATATATATATATATATATATATATATATATATATATATATATATATAAAGGGTCAAACACTAATATTCCATGGTTATAATTTATTACATTGGAATCGTAATGACGATCAATTCATCAGACCTACAAATTCAAAACAACATTTGAATTTGTAGATCTGATGAATTGGGTCGTGATTACGCTTCTAATGTAATAAATTATAACCATGGAATATTAGTGTTTGACCCTTTTATATTATATTCTTACTCCGAACATTGAGTTCTACCTGTATTTTATCCTCTTGGAAATTCATGTATATATATATATATATATATATAACACAAAATATGTTAAATGAGCGGAATAATTACCGTTCCCAAAAATGGGCGTATAAAATAAGTGCTCAATGCAGCAGCTTAGAAAAACATACATGCAGAGGAAGCTAATACAATAAAAAAAATAGGTAAAACACTATATACTACCACATACTAATGGTTTCGACCGATAAGTTTCAAAAGGTGACTGGGGAACAAGTGTTCCTCAAACCGCATCACACTATTATTATCAAGTTACGGCACCAGAAGTCAAGAAATGGGGAGGTATGAACGAAGAGAAAAACAACTTTTTTTCATCCGGGATCGTACTGGCCGAGAACATTCTGATGAGACCTAACGGTCGAAACCACGGTAATGTGCTGTAATATATGGTCATTCACCTCTTTTTATTATATATATATATATATATATATATAATGCTCGTATATGTTCGTATAACAGCAAATACTTTAGTTCAGTACAACAATGTGTACGACTCAACGTTATGCCTTGTGACCCACTTTGTGAACTCTTTTCCTGTGAGTAGACGTTCCTACTCGAGATTTACTGCTATAAATACAGCATTTGTGACGAAAATGATTTTCTAACTTCTATATCTGTTTTTGTATGAATGATTCATGTAATATAAATTGACCTGTACTCATACTTGATATTAAAGTAACTGATCCGACGTGAAACGTTCGGACAATAACTGTGACATTCCTGTATTTATTGAACAATTTAGTTCATGCCACATTGACTGAAAAACCTACCAGTACAAAAGAATTCTCCTATTACCATATTAGTACAAAAACGCACAATCTTAAAATTTAAAAATTCAGCCTCAGCGTTGCGACCGCACGCTCCCCCAAAATTTCTTACAATTAACAATAACACATTTCTAAAAACATTTTTTCGGATTACATCTCTATTTTCGTTGTCTTGTTATTACCGAGAAGTAAAAAACAAAAACAAATCAATTTCCATACTTAAGATGTCTGTATGAACAGACGAAAGCTTGTAAAAAAACTAAAAAAGACCTTATGCAACTGGAATTTATAAACAGGGGTCATAACATTCATATACAGATTCGGGGTTAATGTATTTTATTAAATTTGTTTTCGAAGATGTATTCTCGCATTTAAATCATTAACTTCTATATCTGTTTTTTTGTATGAATGATTCATGTAATATATATATATATATATATATATATATAGTCATCCACAGACAGACTGTTTCGCTGTATAACACAGCTGCACAGTGTCGCTAGACGTCAGATTGTTTCAAGCCGGGATTGAAAACATCAGTCAGATATCTTACCTCTAGGCCATCGTTGCAAGGCAGAAAGGAAGAGAATTTTAACGTTAAAAAAAATACGGCAGTGGCATGGAGAACTCAATTCATACTTGAGTAATGCTTATATATAATGCGTGTTTTTGTGTATATGTATGTATGTAATCATTATGCAAATCTATACACAATATGTTTAGAATCTCTGTCGTTTTAAGTTAAAGGTTAAACAGATTTAAAATAGAGAATAGCTGCTGAAATAGACATCAAAGGTTATCTCTCTTGCAATTGTGCGGTAAGTATAGTTCAATAAAATAGGTGTATATGTAAATTATGATAATGCTAATAGTGAGTTAGCCGTTTCCTTATAAGGAAACATTTGGTATTGGTAAGGTTGCTGCCGACTGAATTTCATAAAGTCTTTCTGTTGAAAGAGATTTTTTTAAGGGAAATGGATTTCTCAAGTCTATAGCTCTTTCCAGTACTAATGGAAATTTCCTTTCTAACTTTTTGTGTTTAATTTTGTATATGTTGTAAAGCATTTTATTCCACATTATCAACATTTATAATCAATCATCTAAAAGGAAAACAGAAAGATTTTACTTTGTTTAGCTTTAGTAAGAAATACGAAGTTACCTTAATTTCACTTTGTATTTCCATTCTCTTATCTATATTTTAAATCTATATGTTCGAACTGTTATCAGAGATTTTATTGAGATAGAATACAGTCGTTGATTATTTGTACTTATTAAGCCTTGAATTTGTTATTCTGTCTTTTCCCGTTTCTTTTAGTATTAAGGATATCTGCACTATGGGAAAATTGTGCCTTCGCTTAGATG